TCATCGCAAGTCTGGTCTCAACCCCTCTTTCAGCAAATGGCATACTTTTGTAGATATCTTCCATGCTTTGACTGGGATAAGGGGCGAGCCAAACTTCTATTCGGCTAATCCTATCCCTCTGCTGATGGTCAACTTCATGCCCTTACTCTTCTTAACAAAATTGTTCTTCATAAAGCAGGGAAGGTGAGTGCTTCTCCCCAGCATCAGGCAAAGAAGCTATTAGCATCTACCCGACATTAGGCAAGGAAGGTGCATGCTTCTACCCAGCATCAGTCGGAGAAGTTGAGCATCTCTCCGGGCATTAGGCGGAGAAACTCTTAGCATTCCCCGACATCAGGCAGGGAAGGTGCGTGCCTTTCCCCAGAATCAGGCAGGGAAGGTGCGTGCCTCTCCCCGGTATCAGGCATTGAAGCTCTAAGCATCTCTTTGACATTATGCAGGGAAGTTGCGTGCTTCTCCCCGACATCGATCATGTGGAGAAGTTGTGTGTTTCTCCCCGACATTAGATGGACTTGCATCGGATGTCAAAGGTCGAAACTTGGCATCTTTCGTCGCATCCAAGGCAGCAAATGCGCTCCTCCGACCATCCATACCTATGAGGAAACAAAGGTCAGGGTAGGGCAGCAAGTGCACTTCTTCGACCTACCATACAAATGAAGGTCAGGGCAAGGCAGCAATCGCGCTTCTCCAACCAGCCATACCTGCGATGAAACGAATAGAGTAAGCGAGGATTCTGTCGGTTGGGTTATCTCCCCTTACACGCCCTAGGGAGCAGTTTATACATTTGCTCTTCTTGAAAAGTCGCGCTTTGCAAAACAGGGAAGCTTCTCTCTTTTCCCCATCACCAGGCGGCGAAGCTCCGGGCTTCTTCCTTGCCTGAGATAGACCTTCATCTGACTTTGAAGGCCAAAACTTAGTATCTTGCACTGCAGCTGAAGCAGCGAGAGCGCCTATTTTACCTGCCATGTCTCTAACAGGTAATAATAGCAATCAACATGGACTACTTATCATGGCGGGCTACTCACTGCATCTATCTCGAGAACATCATACGAGCACTGCTCACGAGTGAAGACCGGTCTTTGCTATCCCCTCGACGGATGGCGACCGTTGCAGTTGCACACAATGGCCTAAGAGCTTACCCTTTAGCTCTATTTTGGGTGCATTCAAAGAAGAGATCTCTCCACCAGAACAAGACCCTAGGCTGCTGCTAATCGGACAAACAAGACCTCAGGCTGCTGATCGGAAGAACAAGACCATGGGAGGCTAATCGGATAAACAAGACCTAAAACTGTTACCCATGCGAAGGAAACCATATCCTCTCGCAAGCAGCGGGGATCAATGTGCATAGTTATAAAAATACCCTCTCCCGAGAATACCTCGGCTTGGCATCATCAACGGGCAGCTTTGCGACCAGCCTCTTATGGGCATACCTTGGCTCGGCATCATCGACAAACAGTTATGCGGGTGGTCTCTCCCGAGCATGCATTGGCTCGACCGCCACCACTGGAAAGCAGACGAGCGACTGGCCTTCCCGGAACATATCCCGGCTTATCAGTAAAGCAGACGCTCAATCAAGAACCGACGAGATTGACCCTCCTCTGTTTTATTTTGAGGTATCGGTGTACTCTTTTTCCTTCACTGGGATTTTTTCCCATCGGGTTTTTTCCTAGTAAGGTTTTAACGAGGCATCCCCTCATCATGAACAAGGGAAGAGGTCTTCCCGGTTGGAGCAAAGAAGACCCCGGGCAGCTGGCCAGATAACCAGGACCCCAGGATGCTACCCAGACAAGGAGGGTCTCATCCTTGCGCAACACTGTGGGATCACGGCAGACGGTTACATGACTAACCTTTCCAGGCACACCGCAGATCGTCATCATCAACAATCATCTGTGTAACTAGCTAGCTAGCTTGGCAACCAGGCCGATTTCAAAGCAGCTCAACTACTCCCTTTTAGCCGAGTCTACTACTCGACTAAGGGAGTGGGGGACTCGTGTTGGGATAATATGCCAGGCCTAGTGCCCTCGGCCTATTATCCCCGAGCTTCGGCCCAACTAGGCCCAAGACGCAGTCTCACGAGCGGGAATCGCCCCTTGCTCATTTACTTATTTATTGGGCCGGTTCGCCCATTAGCTTGGACATGTATTATGTATTTGGGCCAAGCCCACGTAGATTAGACTTTTGGACTTGTGGTGGATGCCTATAAATAGGCCATCACCCCTCATGTATTGGGGACGTTATTCTTACTATACTGAAATGCTGCTAGTTTCTCTACCCGGGATATTTTCTACCAACAAGAACTATGACAATTTTTCGTCAAATTCTAATGGTAATGGAAAACAGAAATTAAAGAACACAAGAATTTAACATGGAAAAATCAATTGGCTCAAGAGGGATTAAAAAATTTCGACCTCTCACTAAAAACCTTTAAAGTAGTTACAATAGAAAATTTTCTAGTTTACTCTCGAGTCACCCCAACTCCAACCTCTCTATTTGGAGTTCTTGTTGTCTTACCTTGAGGGTAATGAGCCTCATCTTTACAACAAAGCTGTAATCGCACACCCGAACCCTTAGAGAAAAGCATTGTCAAACTGTTCCAGCTCTCAACCCAAAAACAATAATGAAATTAAAGAACAATGACTAAAACCACTAAATGAACTGTCGCAGGTGCTTGATTCCCTAATTTTTTTTCATACGGAATTCTTCTTTTTTGGGCATTCTCTCTCTCTTTCAAGCACACCTTTCTTCTGCCATTCCTTAGGTAATTATATCATTTTCTAGTGCGCACAACCTTGTATGTTATTAACATATTTCTTGACGCTTACTAATTTAAGATTGATTCCTTCGATCACCCATAAGACATTTCCTTTTGAGCATAGATTCTTGATTCCTTTGCTTTTTGTTGATTGACCACTCCAAATGATAATGGTGTAGCCCATCCTTTATGTAATTTAGTACTATGGAAAATAAAAAATTTACGACTAATTAATTAGTCAAGAAGTTTGGTACCTAGATCTTGTATACTTGACAAATAATGATTAGTCATCAACAAAACATGGCAATAAATAGATCTCTCAAGACATAAAAACTAGACACACCTTTCATTATTTTTCTTTGGCTAATTTCATAAGCAACTTTTGAAACTCCATCATAAATTCATACCAAACAATGTATGATTTTCATGGAACCTTACACTAATGATAGAATCTATACATGGGCCATGGTGGACTAAATTAAAGCTCAGGTAACTTAATTTTTATTAATTTCTTAATGTAAACTTTTAAATTTTTCATATTTAGTTCACGTACCGCACTAATGTTTAAGTCTACCATATATAGTTGCTCTTCAGGCCACGGCATCCCAGAACTCTGGATCTTCCCTTGCTTACACTTAGCACAAAACAATATACATATAGCGATATAGTACATATTAAATTATGTAGTAAATGACGCATGTTTTAATACATGATTATTAGGAGTATTTGTTAATTCAATAACAATATTATTGTAACAGCGTCCGGAAATTAAAGTCAAGAAATACTAAAGTCTTACAACCTGCGTTCTCAGCATGCAAGCTAAGTTAATGACTTGCTCGAACATCCTAATAAACTCATTAATTAATTAATTAATTAATTAATTAATTAATTAATTAATTAATTAATTAATTAATTAATTAATTAATTAGTGAGCTAATTAATCATCCTCAAGCACAATCTTAACACTTCCAATCTTCACAGCCTCACATCCTGCCCTTGGAACTATGGTCACCAACACACTCTCATCATCATCTGCATCAACACCCAAATCTTCCAAGAGCTCATTTAAGGACAGTCTCAGATTTGTCTTGATGATCTTCATGTCATGCTGATGGTGACCGCCATGTGGCACGCTCACAAAGCTTCCTGCAAACTCGGTGTCCATTGGTGTAGCACTGCCAGTCTCGTCATTGATTAAGACATCAAACTTGACAAAAACATCCTTCTCTAACTCTATTCCTTCTATCAAAAGAGTTTCTTCTTCTCCCTTGTTTTCATTAGCATCACCCTTATACTTCAGGATTCTCTTCATTTTCCTTATAGGCCTTCTCACCATTGCCCTCACCACTTTGTCAAGCGTCCCTGGCTGCCAGATGGGCATAAAGCCCCCCTGACCCGTCGTCGTGGCCCTCGAGAGCTTATTTTTTGTTTTTAAAACCCCAGAGACACGTGGGGTCGGGCGATAGTTGATCCACGGGATCTCCACGTCTTGAAATACATATCCAAGAGCTCTCGTGTCCAAACAATCCCGGACCTTGACCCGGACCATCTGCGCGTTTTCGTCGCAAAAAATGAATGACGCGTCGAGCCAGTCCGGGTCAGAGTAATCTCGACGACACCCTCCTCCTAATTCTTTCCAAACGCTCCACATCCTATCGACGTTACAATGGTGGGCATAGAATATCATGTCCCTACCCGCTGAGTAAAAGGTCCCCATATCCTCCCATAGGGGTTGTGTCCGGTCCCCGGTCCAGTCATGGATCGTGTTGTGTGGGGTGAGCTCGAGGGACCCCGAACCAGGGTTGGGCTCATCTCCCGCTCGGTATGGACTCCCATGGAACCCGCTAGTGGTCCGTCCAAGCCGCACCATTGTACGGTACATTGTGGTAAGATTACAAGACACAAGCTCTTCATTACTACGCATATCTTTATACGTCCTGTCCCAGTCCAAATCAACAATGTTTGGCGGCTGGTGTCTGGCGTCGCGAAAAGGGTCGTAGAGCGGAGAGTTTGGGTCTTGTGTGTACATGGCCGGCATCGTCATGCCGGCCGGGTGGTCCCAGTTCCAAAACGGAATCCCAAAAGTCGGGTCGTCAATAAGTTTGCCCAATATTCTCTCGAAGAAGTACAAATAGCAACGATGAAAGGGAAAAAACATCCAGGAGCTATGAACATGAAAGTTTTGGTCAGGAAACCCGTCTTGGATATACGCGCCGTTGCAATAGGCACAGTGGATGTTGGCTTGGTGACGGAAGCTCCGGGGGTCGTCGTCGGGAAGTGCTTTCATGAGGTCAACGGCTCTGGTGAACTTCTCCACGTACGCCTCATCGTTAGCCGCCAAATGGGCCGCCGGTCTGACTCGCATAGTGGTGGGCCGGTATGGGAGCTTGAAGTCAACTATGTTTGCTTCCCCGCCGGGCAACGGGGGGCAACAGTTCAGCGACTGGTCAGCGGTCTTGGGCAGTTGGACCGGGCCGCATTTCGATGCGCTGATGGGCTCCGCGAAGGCGAGTGGATTGGTTATAGCCCCATATCCATACAGCCCTCCCAGACCAACCAACATGTTTCTCCTATCAAACTTATACCCGCCGGCGTCAAGGTGGTGCTTTTCCTCGCCGGCGTCAAACTTATTACCGTTGCATGCTACGACGTGAAGTCGACGACAAGTTTGTGGGGCAAAATGGGAAACATTTGGGATGGTGTTGGTGAAGGAGAAGAAAGAAACGCAGGCCATTTTTCTCTCTACTTTGGTTTATATGAAGTACTTCGTATTACTTTCCGGATGTGTATATATAGGTAAATATAGTGGGTTGTTTCATGTTTGGGGGTGACATACTACGTACTACTTACTCACATAATCACATGCATGTAATTTGAATTATAGAAGTAGACAGCTATACATGGAAGATTTCTAGAAATTAGACTTTCGTGACCTACTCTAGCTAACTTGTATTTATATATAATTAAATTTTTTATGGATCCATCATTGTGGAAATACGTTTTGATATTTTTATTTCATACTTCAATTGTGTAGTTTTTTCATGTGGACACATACGAACATACCCTTACACTGCCATAACATTAACTTTTCATTAGAAAATATAGACATTATTGTGGTAACAAATCAGTTCACTCTCATCATCTCATGTCAAATTAAACAATTGGATTTTTTTCGTTTTCCAATAAAAAAAAGCTCGATAAACGAAGAAGTGTTTGTAGCTGTTTCTATTTTTGAGAAATGGTTTACTTTAGAGATTAAATAAAGCAAGTAATTGTACGTATCTCTATTTGTGTAGAAGTATTATGGGTGGGCAAAAATACCGGAAAGTCGGTATACTATATACTATCGTATATCGCACTTACTGTACCAAAAATACCGAAAAATATCGGAATGTTGGTATACCGTCATTATTTCGGTACGATAACGATAAATGTTTTCAAATACCGTGATATACCAGTATAATACCATACTGACTCACTACCCAACAATTACTTTAAATTCTAAAATATTCTAAGAGCCTATTACAATTTTGAAGCCCAAATTCAATACTTTGGTTGGTTACAAATACAAAAATACTAAAATAAAGACTAAATTTCCCAAACCCGTTATAACCTTCTAGGCTTCTACTACGTAACATTCAAACTAACTACTCCTAATGAGTAGTGTACTAATGTCCAAAAACAAGTTCATCTTATTCCAAAAGCTTGCGAGTCGCGACGGCTAAGCAGCTAAGAAGCTCACAAGTGGAGAGGGATACACTTATGTGACGAGTGTATCTACGTAGGGATTCCGCAAGTCAAGACACACAACTCTGTCTGAAAGTCTTATTCAAATATTTTTTTAAATATAAAAATGACTAAATGCACAATTTCATATTAGGAATAAATGATTTTATATCCATGTTGTTTGAATACTTTTATTTATTTTTGTTAGAGATCACTATTGATTTAATTATATCTATATTGTTCAAGATATTTTAGGAAAATGTGTTATTTTTCATCCGTGGCATGTTGAACTGATTAAATATACTAATACTCCCTTCATACCCTATTTAAGTTCTCACTTTCGTTTTCGGGGTGTCCCTTATTTAAGTTCACACTTCCATTTTAGCAAACAAATTTATACCCAAAATAGTACAAAACAGTGTCAAACAGTCTCCACACATTGTGAAACAATGCACTTCACAGTAAAATCAAATTTATTTTCTTAATAGAACTTAAATTTCAGTCATTTGTTGATGAAGTGAAGTTGGTAATAGGCCGAAAAGTTCTAAATGTCCCCCATTCCCATGATCTGCTCCTTAAATTGTTCTGGATTGGAAGTATTTGGATTCCATATCATGAAACATCGCACATTTAAATTTACCTAGTTAATTTATTGGTCAATTTTAATGTCTACTTAGTCTTGAACCATCTTACCTATCTGCCTCAAATAAGACCAAAAGTCCAAAGGTCAAAATAAATAACGGCCGGTATTAGACTAAAACATGATGTTCAAATGATAGTACAACAGTGATTTGTTACCCAAACTTTCCAGTGAAGTAAAATTTCATTCAACATTATTTATTTAATAGTAATAGTACTTCAATGCCACATTTTATTTCACTCGGATGCAAAGACCTTCATTATGCAAATCCAATTGATGGACTACTGATTTTGTGAAACTGCTCCCTCATTTAACGAATAACTAGTAATAATACCCGTGTGTGTTGCACGGGAGTGTAGTAATTACATACAAATTAATGTTATAATTATAAATTAAAGAATATGTTAAAATAGGATTTATAGAAATACTCATAAGTGAACAACAGTACTATGTGTAACAACGTATGTTATGGTATAAACTAATTAACCTGTGTAATTTTCTACAATATGAAAATAATGTATGTAATAACTGTTGTTCTCAAGTACCACATGAGTGGTTGATATGTGTGCCTATTGTTTCAAGATATGAATAGTTAATAAGTCTAACACGGGTCAAATTTATCAGGTGAATGTTTACCCCAATCAACAATATTTTATAGAAAAATTCTAAAGTACTCCAAATAGGGTGGCCACAAATGGAACAACTCATTTAATTAAGCAGGTCATCAACGGGCCATCTGGGGAATTAACCTATATCACTTGTTTTGGCCCCAATGCTTATCATACAGTATCATTGACCTCGTACTTAATCCAACTAACTTGCCGTCACGAGGATAGCGTCAATCTTGCCATGGGTTCTGACTAAGTTTTTTTCAATATGTAGAGGTGTTAGAGAGTAGCCTTTTGTTGTTACCGTCGCCATGACGATTCCACTCCCACCGACACAAGTTATCAATGATCCGTCGAAAGATTGGTATTCCCTCCGTCCCGTAAAGATGTTCCCGGTTTCCTTTTTTGGATGTGCCAAAAACAAGTTACCATTTCCATAATGGAAAAATTGAGCTTAATAATCCAACTATACCTTATCCGCTTTTAATAATCCCAATTAGTGATTATTATTGGGTGGTCCGAACTTTTGGGAGGTTTTTATAAATTAAAAACTGTATGGTTGACGTTTGTGCAGAAATCACAAAATAATTGATTAAAAGAGAAAGTGACAAAGTTTTTTATATTAGAACGTCCCAAAAGGGAAAGTTGACACAGTTTTAAGGGACGGAGGGACTAATTAGAAGTGTTCTGCGTAGGGGTGGACCGAGACCGCCACTGTGCGGTAACGGCCCGGTGAACCGGGACCGAGACCGGGCCTGGGGGCCCAGACCGGGGGTGTTTGGGGCGGGTCACGGGCAAAGCCCCTCTTGGAACCGGCCCGGCCGGTCCGAGATCGGTCTAGGCCCAAAAAAAATTCCAAAGTGTTTTGGTGGTAGGAGGGTTGGGGTGGGGGTAGGAATTAATTAGAAAAGCTAAAAAAATTATTGAATCCGGCCCGACCCGGTCCCGGTAGAATCCCGGGCTGGTACCGGGTCTTAACCCAAAAACAAAACGCCTGGTTTGGATCGGCCCGGACCGGCTAGGTACTGGTCCATGCCTAGTTCTATGTATTTATTCTTCTGAGGAGTCTACGGTTTGAAACCTTTTTCCAAACTTTTTCTACCCAACCTTAGCTTTTATCCATTTCCTCCATAATCCTATTTAATTTTTGTCTAGTGTAAGAGTTAAAGAACAATATTACATTTTTGCAATAAATGTAAATTTATTTTTAGATATAAGTTTGCATTCATTATGTACATTAACTCTAAATGCATACACTATTTGTCTCTTATTCTATTCAATTATTTATTAACATAATATTGAAAAACCTAAAAACTTTGGGACAAATTTATTTCCAATAAAGTGAAATTTGTTAAGTACGACTTCATATTTTTTCGCCGGCCGAAGGTTTTGCTGTTTATAACTAATTTTTATATTATCTTATGTGAATTCACTCCCCTCACGAAAAATCCTAATACGTCACTGCCTATAAATGCCTCCAACATATATTGTAAGAGTTGTTGACTACATTTCGGGTCCAATATCTCTATTTACAATAACTAGATTTTTCACCCGTGCTTCGCACGGGATGCAGTTAGTAAGCAATAATTTATTTGTGAACGTATATACATGTCTAAAGATAGAAAATGCATATGTTGTTTTTAATAAGATAAAATAAAGAATAAAAAACTCCATATAAATTATTATTCCGTATATACGTAGTATTTCATAATTATAAACAACATTCAAAGACTTCTTCGCCAGTTTTCCGTCAACATCACACATTAAAGTTCAACATATACAGGGACGTTACTTTTGTGACAGAGACATAAGGTTGTCCAGAGGTGAAAATCGAATGACATAAGAAAATACCAACTCTTTCCAAAAAATATTCCTTACTTTTATTAATGGTATTAAATTGATAGTTTTGAATGTTTCATGCTCTGTATCAAAATTCATGTTATGTTAGGTCTTAAATTGATAGTTTTCAATCAAGGGTGGAGCCAAGCTGATTCGGGCCCGGCCAGGCCTTTTGTGTTTGGGGGAAGGCCCGGGACCAGCCCAGGTTGCCGCCGGGTCCGGGTCGGGCCGGGCCTCGGGCCTATATCTGTTTTTTTTTCTTTTTTCCTTTTCCTAATTAACCATTTAACCCCCGACCCCCCCCCCCCCCCAAACAACCCCAAATGGACCAGAATACCAAGCCCAACCCAGGTTTTCAAAAGAAATTGAAAAAAAAATTGGCCCGAACTGGGCCCGGCCCTGGGCCGGTTCCTTATTTACGTGACCCGAGCCCGCACCGGAAAACCACCTGGGCCAGGCATACCCGGACCGGTCCCTGGCCGGGCCACCGAGCCGGGCTGGGCCCAATAGTACTGGGCCGGTTCCGGGTCGGGCCACCCGGCCCGAGTCTACCACTATTTTCAATTATTCGTGCTTTGCATTGACGCATTTCACCTTTTAGGTTCCATTATGATAGTGAAAGATAAGAAAATACAACTATCACATTTAAAAGCTTAGGAAGAACCATATATTGATAGTGAAAGATAAGAAAATACAACTATCACATTTAAAAGCTTATGAAGAAACCATATATTCATAACAGTGCTTTGAAGACTCCTATTTTTATCTTCCTCTCATGCAAATATTGCAATGATGGTC